GAAAGGTAAGTGGGTCTGGTTTAGGAGTACTATAGTTTAACACCCTGTTTCGGATTACAAATGATGCATATCGGTGCAACTCTCTCTCAGTTGGTAGTGTGTTTTGATTGAATACGTATTAATAAACCCAATTTGAAAAATCTGATTGGTTGTTGACGTCCTTCGCTTAACCTTTCCTTCACTTTTTCGCTCTGTAACATTCATGCTCTTGAAAAAAAACCTTTGAAAAGTGATATTAAGGTGTGAATTAATTGCACGGAAAAAAGCGCCCCCGGGGTTTTCAAGCCTTAAGGCGCACAGACTAAAGAAGCATGTGGTTTATTTAAAGTCTTTATCATCTTAAAATGATCTATTAAAGCTCTTCTAAATCAAAATGCTAATCTGCATCTTTTTATCCTCTGATATGTATTTCTTTAAAAAAAACATGCTACTGGAATGCTGTAATTACTGGCATATCCTTGTTATTGTTTATCAGATGCAGAGAGAAACAGAGTAAGCGAGAGCTGCTGACTCGCTATCAGCCGCTATCTTTCTTTGCCGCTCTGTCAGCCATTAGCCTATAATTTCTGCTTTCACACTCTCAAGGCCTTATGCTCAAAGCAATGGCATTGCTGTGTTCGAGAAAGCTTTCGCTTTCAGCGTGTTGGCGGCTGTACATTGACTGATAAACAGAAACGCTGACAAATTGAGTGCTCATTCACACCCACTGCAGGTGTTCGAACAAAACAAAAAAAAAGGGAGCAAAAAGCACTCATTGGAGCGGAGGTGCAAATTAAACCGCAGTGCAGTTTGACGGGAAACATGATACTTTTTTAAAGGATAGAAAAAAGACTGTAAATGTGCTGTAATTATAGATATTTTGGACTGTCACACTAAAACTAAAGCCTGAACTGAATAATTAATATAATCGAATATGGCAGAATCAGAATTCCTTCATTCGTCCCGCTACGAGGAAATTACCACTATTACAACAGCAGAAGTACAGTGCAGAGAAAGTGAAGAGAACAGATCTAAATATAATGTAATAACCAAAGTTAGAGTTACTTCTTTGACAAATGTAAAGTTTCTGAGCACAGCAGAGAGACTGCATTATTGTCTGAGTGGCTTTCGCAGGCCTGGGGGGCATAACACCGGCTCAGCATATATGAAATTGAGAATGAGAACAAGTAAAACACCATATAAAGTCGCTCGGAGCATTGAAACTCTTATTTATTCATCGCCGGCTGCTGAATAGGCAGCGCAGTACATCAATAACAAATCGAACTGGAGGTCAGGCATGGAACTTCACACATGGCTGCCTCTTCTTAAAATATAGTCTATTTTAACCAACCGTAGGTGTGAATAACCCCTGCAAATTATTTTCATCATAGTGTTTCATTTTAAAGTGTTATTGACTGGGATAGACAAAGGGAAGGTCAAAGTCTATTTAAGATTACTCTCCTAACAAATGCTTTCTTTTTATTTGAATTCCTAGAGGGCCATATTCCCCACACTAAGCACCGCTTTCGAGAACGAAACCCAGATTTTCCCACACGTCTCTCTTGATGTGGCCCGAGGCCGTGCTACTTCTTATTTTCATCACTGAGCTGTTTTTAACTCGCTGTGGAATGAGAGTCCGACTCTAAATTAGTGTCCTAAATCCAAAGTCATTAACTCTCAAACCAAACCGATCTGTGCCACAGCGTATATGACCCGATGTGTGTGTGTGTGAGATTACAAGCATTATAATTCAGCCTTGTTTATTTAGTAATCTGTCTGTGTGAGGATTTGGGTTACTATCTTCAGGAGGCATGTAAATGTAGATGCCGCAGACAGTTTAGGCATGAGGCGGTGCCGAGACGAGGTGCTAGACATACGCTAGCAGACGGCAAGTTAAAGTGCTGAGTGTATTCCTGACAGCTGATACATATTCGAAGATGCTTTGGCCTTGTCTTCGGGAGATAGCCCAACGCTGGTCTGAGCCAATCGATTTGTGCTCGGGTTAAAAGGCCCCATGCTGTCTGCAGCTGCATCAATACTTACACTGAGACAAAAATAATGTGCAATATTTTCTGTGCTAATCCATAGAGATTATCATTCTAATATTTGCCTTCTAATCTGCACACTTAATCTTCATCATCACAACACAGTGTTTTTGTCTACTCTGCTCGGATTTACATTTTCATTTTTATATTAAGCCTCTCCTATAGAGACTGCACATTCATCATAACAGCAGCAAATCATATGTGGAGCTTTATCGATAAACATATTGTTATTCTCTCATGGAATGTATTCCTATAGTCTCAGATTATGTATTTATACTTAGAGCAACATTGATTGAGAAATGTGTATGAGTTTACATAGAAATATCGCTTGTATGCACAATAACTCCCAGCATGCACTGAGGCAACGAACTGGAGGACAAATGACTCATTGCATGTGTTCCTGCACATTCAGATCTTGTTTTACAGTGTTCTACAATGTAGACACTGCTTTCACAATACCAATGTTGTTACACAGATAGCTATTAAAGGGGCATTCCACCAATTTCACACATTTAGTTAGGCTCACAAGTCACAAGAGCATTACTCGGCATGTGAAAACAGCTGGGTAATGTCTTCGGTGGCTTTGAAAGGCTTTTCAAAGTCTGAAAGAATAACTCTGATGACATCAACAGGGTTATATTGGCATGTGTTAGAGACCCAACATTTCAAACAGAAAGCCTGAGTAAAGGATGAAAGTGTTGAGTTTGGAAGACGTGTAGGATTCAGTGTTTGTGCAGCTTGACCCATACTGGAGACTAAGAGTAATTATATTTGAACCTCTGCTGCCGGTTTATAACTTATTATTTGTTTTACATTTTATTCCACCAAAAGGAAAGTATGTTACACTGACTTAAATTAAAAAATATTTGCAAGATCTCCCATCCTTTTATGATTTCTCCTGTCTAGTCCCTTCCATAGAAGCTCAAACATCCAAGTAACAATAGTCATAACATCAAAATTATGATTGTGTGACTTTAATCTGTAATTTGGTATTTAACAAGGCTGAACATTTATATTGATGGCAGCAGACAAATAGGAATGTATGAGTAAACACAAAAAACATACTCAATATTATTAAATACTTCCCCACGCAGTTTCAACATGTCATGTCGAGAAGACAATTTCGATATGATTATTGCTGTCTCAATGGGCCAAAAGATGAGTTGCTGTAAAAGTTACATTTGGTGAAAGCTTGATCTAAAAACGTCAGTTTTGCAGGAAAATGGTGAAGATCCGGACCGTACATTAGTCTAAATGTCTGATAATAATAGACTGGATATAAACACCTTAGCCGCGTTCACACCGCAGTAATTTTCCCACTTTAGTTCCGATATAGTTCCGAAATGTTGCATTCACACCAAAAAGAGCCGGAATTCAAATTAGTTTATCAGAACCTTTTTTACCCCCTTTTCCGTCCCTGCTAGAGAGCAGGGACTTTCGTGGGAGAAAAAGGTTCCTATGTCTGATTGGCTGGGCGGATTGCAAACCACGGCCCGTAAAACTCCCAAAAAGTTTTGTGAAGCCGCCATTTTAATATCCTCGCATTAGCATTATTAGCATTAGCCCAGCGCACAAACGCAGAGAGCGGTGGAGATGAGGAGGTGTCGGAGTTCTAGCGATTTACTCGGAAGGCTTCAGTAGAAGCTGCTGGGAGTCCCAGCAGCTTCTACTGAAGCCAGTCCCCAACTCTGGGGACTTCCGGCCGGGGACTTCAGGTGGCAGTATACGCCGTGAAGTTGTTTGCGGCCTGCCAGTAAACCCAAAGCAGAAGAAGAAGAAGAAGTGACGTCAGCGGCTTAATTTGCCTAATCCTTCCCCAGGAATTTATTCCGGTGTGAACGCGATCTGTACTTAGTTCATGAGAACTAAAGAGTTCTCATGAACCTTTGTGGGAAAAGTACTGCGGTGTGAATGCACCTCTTGATGTCTAGTTTGTCTGTCGACTTATCCGATTTAGCCAGTCTCGGGGAGGGAAAATAACTCTGGATTTAGCTAATACTAGTAAGCCGATTTGAAAACCTAATCATTTATATAAAGGCTATTCAAGTGTTGAGACTTTAGGCTGATTTACCTAAAAAAAACAACATATGAGCTGATTTACAGACATTTCTTTCTCATTAAGTCAATGAGAAAAAGTAATTTTAGTCCCAATTCCATGAAGTGACAGTTGTAGTTCCACCATTTGGCCACTAGGCCACAATTCACTCAAACGGTCGGCGCACTTTCTGGAAGCTTGCTGCCGGTGGGTGTATAGGCGAAATAAACCTCTCTGATTGGCTGTTCCGTTTAGGAAAAGTGCGCACGAGAAGAGAAATGCAAGCTAGGAAAACACAGAGACAACTAAAGTCACACGTTATAAATCCTCGTTACATCTCTCTCTAATTTACTCGGATACCCTCACAACTACTAAACTAAATGTTTACTGAGAGTGCATGGTGTTAAAATATTCGTCAAATGCTACTTTATTTTGAATTGTGTACACCTGCGTTTTCCGGTTGAATTCTTGGAGAGTTATTTCCTCTCACGCAGGCGCAGAAGTACGTGTTTGAAAGGCAATGTTTTGTAGTTGTTGCGGTGTGTTCAGGTTCAAATGCGACTTTGTACACAAGACACAGGAAACGTGAGGCGACACAACAGTCAAAACTAGTTCCTTAATGTTGCTTTGGTGTGTCAGGGCCTTAACAATGCTCTCTTTTAAAGCCAGGCCACCCTGTTCCCCCCGTTCAAAAGGACCTCTCGGGTCAGACCCCAGGTTGGGAAGCACTTTGCCAAAAAACAGACCTTCACTTTCACACAATGCAACGCTCCTAATCAAGCTGTGTAATGGCTGCTGGGGGCCCCTCGTCTATGTCGGGGCCCTTGTTCAGACACTAGTGGGCGGAGACCTGTTTGCGTGCCTTTTTTGAAATCCTCCCAGGTCCCTGCTGCGATGCGTACTGCAGGAGGAGGCGCACACACGCTGCAGCGTCACACACACATACATACACACACGGCATTTCCAGTGGAGATTGGCACAGACACGCAGCGCCACGGTATGTGTCGGTACGGACTGCTGAAACTTCAGCGCACAGAGGCGGATAGACTCATCTAGCTCGTCCCAGATAGTGGATTAAATTCACGTTTCTTTTCTTTTTCCTCTTCCTCCTCCTCCTCTTCCTCCTCCTCCTCCTCCTCCTCCTCCTCCTCCTCCTCCTCCTCCTCCTCCTCCTCCTCCTCTGGTTTCGTGTTACAAAGCCCTGGGAGGGAGTTGCGTGGAGAGCCAGTTCCTCTGTGTAGAAACTGAATGACAGGATCATATGGCTTAATTTGCCTTATAGTCCAACCTTAAAAAAATACCAAGAGGAAATAAGGAAAAGAGAGGAAAACCAGCGGGCGAATTCATCTGAAATTGATGAGCAATGTGGAATAATTTGTAACTCAAATTCAGAAACAAATCCGAGATAACGGTGAAAGAAAAGGGATACTGGATCTGTCGTCGGAGCGGAAAGCGCAGGACGCGGAGCCCGTAAACATCCCTGCTATAATAAGGTAAATGTAAGCCCTTTATTTGTCGTAATGGTGGTTGCAGCGGCTGGATTAAAAGTAGACGAAGCAAGCAGAGGTGCAAGACATGATCGCGAGTCTCCGGATCTCCAACTGTTGCCCCCTTTTCTTGGTAATAGGACGCCGCCCGACACAATGCGTGCTGTGGACGGGGGCTTATAGGTGTTGCAGGGTTTTGGGACTCAATGCGATGCAACTTTATCTCCATTTCTAGCAGTGTAAACACAGCGCACTGCGGGCAGGAGCTGCTGGAAGAGAATCAACTCCGCTGGTTCTCAGTGTTTCCTCAGCACACTGCTCCACATCACAGCCCTGTAGGGAAACTGTAATATCACACTCCTGATGTGCTGAAACATGCCATGATTATATCTGTGCACTCCAGGGGCAAAAGCAGTTCGTATATTTAACTTTTGTCATGTAATATATCTTTCAGTTTTGCCTTATAATAAACTTTTAAGAAGCTTGATAGTGTTCTTCCTGCTCTATTGCATCAATATAATATTCCATTAATACTCCCAACTAATACTATCACACTCCTGATGTGCTGAAACATGCCATGATTACATCTATGCACTCCAGGGGAAAAAGCAGTTCGTATATTTAACTTTTTTCCTGTAATATATCTTTCAGTTTTGCCTTATAATAAACTTTTAGGAAGCTTGATAGTGTTTTCCTTCTTCTATTGCATAAATACAATATAACATTAATACTCCTAACTTGCTTTGTGACTTCTATTGACCACCTAAAGACGAGTTAGGGAGATTTTCCTCAATTAGAATGAATCGTGTTAGACTTTTAGCTCTTTCTGAGCTCTAAATAGCTCATTTCATCACATAGAAGTTATACATGACAGACTTGCTGCTTCTATTTCCCGCTTGCTCAGCTGACACTCTAAAATTAAGCCCTAACTGTGACAATAATCCACTGAATTGAGATATTTTGGAGTACTTTCCCCCCTCTGATTCCCTCTCTGCTTTAATGAAGTAAGTATTAGCTTCAGTTTAGTGATTATTGTAATTACTGAGGAGGAAGGCAGGCTGGACAGTGAGCAAGGATTTTCTCTTTTTTTTTAAAAGGTGGTGTTTGGTTCGAGGGGGAGTGGGGGGTCTGCCTGCTTTTCCTTGTCTTTTTTTTACGAGGTGGATGGTGCCACTGCCAGTTAACTCTCAGACAGCACAGGGGGAGTACGGCCCTGCGGAATAAAGACAGTTGTGGGAGAAGTGGAGTCATGTTATTGCCACGTGGGATGGAGGATGACTTTATTTACTGTGCTTCAGGATCCACTTTCTGCCTGTGTCACTCTCTCGTAAAGTTTCTTTTGCACGCGCCGGGTGGATTATGCGTGTCACAGTGTTGTTTGAAAAGATGAATACAAGTAATTCACTGGTAGAATTCAGTGTTAGCATGGAGCAGGGAGTTGACATTTGCAGTACAGAGAGATGTAGCCGGAGATAATCCCACCTAAAATGTACTTTGCTCACCTTTTTTTAATTTGTAAAATCCAGTTCTTGAGACTAAGACATAATCCTTGATATACATAGGAGAAGATGATACAAGACTGGTGGTCTACTGTAGCTCGGTTGTTGAAGCATTCTTACTGACATGTGCATTATTCCCAGTCTGAAAAAAAAGCCCTGAAAATCCAGTTTTATCCAGGGCAGTTGCAACAAAGCCACACACACTAACACACACACAGACACACTAAAACACACACACACATGCTGCAGCCCTCTGGCCCCAGATGTTAATGCCTCCATTGAGAGAGCCACAGGACTCCTGCCGACTCGATCTCTTCATTGTCGGACAAACAATGGACTCCACATCCTGACAGCCAGCCTTCTTCCCATCTTCCCTCACACACTCTTCATGCTCCTCACACACACACACACACACACACACACACACACACACACACACACACACACACACACACACACACACGCACACATACAATTAACCGGTACGCAGTCATGCAGACAAAGGAGCACTCGCATCTATCATGCCCACACACAAGCTTACACACGCTTATACAGTCATTTCCTTACCTTAAAACAGTTGTAACTTATGCTTGGTAAATATTGAGTCGATGTATTTGAGTGAAAGATAGAGAAATGTAGAATTTCTTAAGTAGAGTTGCTCAAAGCATGTGTGTGTTTGTATGGGTCTTTTCTTGGTGTTGTGTTTGACACTGCGGTTCACTGCAGTAGCCTACAGGGCGATTACTTTCATCAAATGTACGGTTATTTTCTCCATTGAGTCATTCGTCTTTTGTCCCTAATATGTCTGAATACGTCAGTCACAGTTTCCAACAGTCCGAGATAAACTCCTCAAATGTTTCAGTTTGTCTGACTCACAGTCTTCAACCAAAATATATTCATTGTAATATCATTTAAAGAAAGAAAAGCTGCAAGTGTACAATTTAGGAGCCAGAAATAACATTATTTTGTGTGTTTTTTTAAAGTGCATCACTTGATGAACTTACAATATTTCCTGACTATCAATCTGCGTCATACTGTGTGTCAGCTCATCTTTGTGCATGTGTGCACACATGTGACGTAAACTGTGTTTTGACACCAAAGGGCCAACATTGCATCATAGCTGTTACATTGTCACTGCGCCAGATGTCTGCTGTGTGTGTGTGTGTGTGTGTGTGTGTGTGTGTGTGTGTGTGTGTGTGTGTGTGTGTGTGTGTGTGTGTGTGTGTGTGTGTGTGTGTGTGTGTGTGTGTGTGTGTGTGTGTGTGTGTGTGTGTGTGTTTAATTGTCATCTCTGTGTCACATGCATCACATCAATGCAACGGATACTGTAACCCACGTGGCGAGCAGCTGAATGCACGGTAAAATGCCCGTGATAACACGATGATTTCTGTTAATTATGCAACACAAAGGCTTTGCATACAGGAACACACGCACAGAACATTCAGTCTGTGTCTCATGCTGGCTGTGGTGCTGCGGGACTGTATGGATTTGAATGAGCTAACTATAGTGTATTTCTGACGGTCGGAGAAGCTTTTTTTTTCACATCCTCCGCTGAGCAACGTGTTGACTTGCCAGCTTCCCACAGTACGTTTATTTTCTTCAAAATATCCCTTTCATTCCTGCAACGATCTAATTCCTTCTCTATCTGCCTTTCTTTTCTTTAACAACTATTTTTCAGAAGCAGATTTGCTTTTGTATTTGCTTTGTTTCCTGCTGAGTTGAAGGGAGTTCACATCTCTGGCTATGCCCTCTCTGTTCTGAGGCTGCAAGAACAGAAACGTGTGTGTGTGTGTGTGTGTGTGTGTGTGTGTGTGTGTGTGTGTGTGTGTGTGTGTGTGTGTGTGTGTGTGTGTGTGTGTGTGTGTGTGTGTGTGTGTGTGTGTGTGTGTGTGTGTGTGTGTGTGTGTGTGTGTGTGTGTGTGTGTGTGTGTGTGTGTGTGTGTGTGTGTGTGTGTGTGTGTGTGTGTGTGTGTGTGTGTGTGTGTGTGTGTGTGTGTGTGTGTGTGTGTGTGTGTGTGTGTGTGTGTCAAGTGTGTTTGTTTCAAACAGAGATATGGTTCATGGCAGGCCAGATGCAAGATCTGGAGAGCAGAAGCAGATGGTGTGTGTGTGTGTGTGTGTGTGTGTGTGTGTGTGTGTGTGTGTGTGTGTGTGTGTGTGTGTGTGTGTGTGTGTGTGTGTGTGTGTGTGTGTGTGTGTGTGTGTGTGTTGTGTGTGTGTGTGTGTGTGTGTGTGTGTGTGTGTGTGTGTGTGTGTGTGTGTGTGTGTGTGTGTGTGTGTGTGTGTGTGTGTGTGTGTGTGTGTGTGTGTGTGTGTGTGTGTGTGTTCTGTAGGGGAACAGCTGGATGGGTGGGGGGGGGTGGTCTGCTGGGCTGGACAGGCTGATGTTTAGAGATGAAGGAAGGGAAGAGGCTTGTTTACATGAACACGATGGTAAATGGGCTTTGGCAGGGAGCGGGGTCAAAGTCTTATGGGGTCTTATGTTTTGATTCTTCCTGTGTGCATGTGCCTGCGTTAATATTCCTAAAAGTTCTTTATTAAGAACCCTATAAGCTACATAAACCAGGTAACGTATGAATATGTGTGTGTTGAGAGAGGGTGTGATATGTGCACAGCTGGGGACTTAAAGAAACGACACTTGAACGTGAAGTCTGGCTCTCTAAATGACACACAACCACATTAGGCTTTCTTTTTACACATTAGCATGTCAACGGCACATTCATCAAATTGTGTATTGTGCTACCACCATAATAAATTATACATTGATTCGTTTTTGTCCAAATTAAGACCCAAAACCTCCATCCTTCTTCCTCTAACTAGCGTGATGCTTCTTGTCCTCCCTCCATAACCTCCAGTGATGTGCCCTCATTTCTCTTCCTGCAGAGGATAAATGTGTCGAGAAGGCCCCCTTTTTTCAGGTTGCTTCATTGACCTTTTCCCCCTCCACCATCTGCTATTCAACAAAGTTCTACCTCTACTAAGAGAACAGTCCATTCTGTTGTGCCCGGAAGCTAAATCTCTCTTTTCGATGAAATGTGCGGTGGCAAAGTGGACAGACGTGAGCAAATAAAGACACATTTTCACCAATTTGACAGCCCATAGAAGACAGGCAAAGGCTGTTAATCAAGAAACACAAGGAAATGTGTGTGTGACAATGCATTTGCCGTTTCTATGGAAACAAAATGGATAAAAATGCATTAAGAGATCACTGCAGCATTATCAGTTTCTCTGCTTTTACTATGTCTTTGAGTAAAATGAACATTTTGTTTTATTCTTTAAACACTGACATCATTTCTCTGTGTTGGAATTCAACGGACACTGGAATTACTCCAGAGCTGTACATCTGTAACCTTTTGCTTATTCCTTGTTATCAGTTTTAGCGTCCCTCCACACACTTTGTGATGTGTATTGTTCGAAAGCACGACAGACACACTTGTATTAATCCCAGAGGGGAAATTCAGGGCTGTTGATTGTTGTGTCCGATGATTGAACAATTATGCATGAAGG